CGCCAAACAACAATGATGGCTGCAACCAAAAAATAGCCGGGCGTTGTGGCGGGCACCTGTGGTCCCAGCTACTTGGGAGGCGGAGGCAGGAGACTCGCTTGAGCCCAGGAGTTGGAGGTTGCTGTGAGCTGTAATGCCACGGCACTCTACCCAGGGGGACAGCTTGAGGCTCTGTCTCAAAAAAAAAAAAAAAAAAAAAAATTATCCTATTGAAGCTGGGCGTGGTGGTGGGTTCCTGTAGTTGGGTTCCTGTAGTCCCAGCTGCATGGGAAACTGAGGCAGAAAGATCTGAGCTCAGGAGCTGGACCACTGCATTCCAGCCAGGAGGGAGGGAGACCTTGCCTCAAAAAAAGAAAAAAATTATCTCACTTATTCCTACAAGGCATTAATGTTACTGTAACCATTTTGCAGCTGAGAAAACTGAGGCATTGAGAGGTTTCTCACAGCCAGTATATAAACCGGGGCTGGTGCAGGTGGTCAGTGGCTTAGTCTGTAATGAGCACTCACAGCCATCCTGACCTATGTCCCTGCCCACAGTGACTTGGCTGGCCCGGGGCATGGCGGACCCAGTGGCAGGCATCGCAGGCTCGGCGGCCAAGAGTGTGCGGCCATTCCGCTCAAGTGAGGCCTATGTGGAGGCCATGAAGGAGGACCTGGCTGAGTGGCTCAATGCCTTGTACTGCCTGGGACTGCCTGGAGGTGATGGCTTCCTGACAGGACTGGCCACAGGGACAACCCTGTGCCAACATGCCAACGCTGTCACTGAGGCGGCCCGAACCTTGGCTGCTGCCCGCCCAGCGCGAGGTGTGGCCTTCCAGGCGCATAATGTGGCACCTGGCTCCTTCATGGCCCGAGACAACGTGGCCACTTTCATCGGCTGGTGCCGCACAGAGCTGGGCGTGCCTGAGGTACTCATGTTTGAGACTGAAGACTTGGTGCTGCGCAAGAATGAGAAGAGTGTGGTGCTGTGCCTGCTGGAGGTGGCCCGGCGCGGGGCCCGCCTTGGTCTGCTTGCTCCCCGCCTTGTGCAGTTCGAACAGGAGATTGAACGGGAGCTACGTGCCACACCCCCGGTTCCTGATGCCCCTGCTCCTAGGGGAGATGCCACTGAAACCACTGCTGCACCAGGGGCTCCTGCCCGCGGGCCTCGCATGACCCCCAGCGACCTGCGCAACCTGGATGAGCTGGTGAGTCCCCCAGGACTGCATATGAGGGTCCAGATGGGAGTGCCAGTGCCCGCAACCTGTCACTGAACATACTGGGGTCCACCCTAGTATCTGCAGGACAGCCTGCTCCATGGCAGGGTTGCATATGTTGAGCATCTAGTGAATACTTGGCCCCAAGGAGATGGGGAGGTGCTAGGTGAGGTCACTCGGGCCAGCTGGGCCTGAGATAGAATCCTGTGTCTTGGCACAGTCTTTCCTTTCTTTATGTGCTAACCATGCATTTGCTAAGAGTAGATTCTTCTTCTGGAGGGCTGCATGATTGGGGCACCTCCTCTGTGCCCTCCCTACACTCAGTATCAGACATATGTATGTACAACCTCACAGAGGCTTGGGTTGAGCTGGAACCATGGTGCTTGACTGAGACCAGGCATGAAAGCCCTGGGCAAGTTGCCTTGTATACAGTAGGTGCTCAGCAAGTGCCTTGGGAAGCCCCCAGGGGCCCTGCAGGTCCCTTTCACTCCAGGCACCACTGTAAAGTCTAGCCCTATGTCGCTGCTATTGGTGGGAACAGGAAGTCCTGTTTGGAGCTGCAGGGTTTGCCCTACTCTGAGCTTAGGAGGTGCTGGACCCTGCCCTTACACTCCTTCCTCCATTCCGTGGACCAAAGTGTCCCTGCCACCCCCGCAGCTGGGCTAAGTTTCCTTCTTATCGAGAGATTAGGGACTATCATGTCCCTGCTCAGGAGGTTGGTAGCCGGACGGCTGTGGGCAGAGTCTGGCACCCCACCCCCATCCTCGGCCAGGGTCACCCAAGGCTCCACCTGCTTATTTCCTCTGGCGCCACTGCTGCTGTGGGTAGGAGGCGGGCACAGCTGCCCACATAGCCAGCCTGGCAGTTCTGGGCTGGGGTATATGTGCCGGCTGCCTGTGTGTGTCCCATGTGTTGGGGGTACCCTCCCAACATCAGTGCCCATCCAGGGGCAGGAGCCCCCTGCACTTGGGTTCCATGACCTGCCTCCTCTCAGGGCCTAGACTCAGCTTTCTTGTCTGTGAAGTGGGTAATGGCATGAGGATAGGCTAAGGGATGTTTCTCATCAGGGACTGACCACAGTCCCATCATCTTATCCTGGGTGGCTCCCTGGTCCTTGAGAGCCAAGAGGGGAGCTAGTGAAAGGTCACCAGTGGAAGCTCCCCCCACATCTGGGGCAGCAGTCTCCGTCCCCCATTCCTGAGGACTTGCTTCCTCCTGACCCTGGAGCTGCTGGAGTCAGCCCCCAGGAGGAGGGACTTGCCCTCTGACCTCCAGCCTTTCCTCTTTGGCCTTAGGTAAGGGAGATCCTGGGCCGCTGCACTTGCCCGGACCAGTTCCCCATGATTAAGGTCTCTGAGGGGAAGTACCGCGTCGGAGACTCCAGCCTGCTTATTTTCGTGCGGGTAAGAGTTGGTGCTCTTTCTAGGTGGGCTGCTGGGTCCATGGGACACAGCCATGACCTGCCCATACCCACCCCGCAGGTGCTGAGGAGCCATGTGATGGTGCGCGTGGGCGGCGGCTGGGACACACTGGAGCACTACCTGGACAAGCATGACCCTTGTCGCTGCTCCTCTGTTGGTCAGTGCCCAGGTGGGAGCGGCAGGCAAGGAACCCAGCTTTGTGGGCTCCTCCCTTACACACTGCCTGTCTTCTCTCCCCACAGCCCACCGCCCGTCCCAGCCGAGGGCTCGCACCTTCTCCCCCCAGAGGGTGTCGCCCATCCCCAGCCCCCGCCCTGGTAGTCCAGTCCCTGGAAGTGAGCGCAGGGGCTCCCGGTCAGAGGTGACTACTGGCATCTTAAGAAGCACAAAGGAGGGGCCTGAGACCCCGCCCAGGTGAGATGCAAGAGGAAATGGGAGGTGGGGGCAGCAGCCCCGGCCTGGATGACAATTGATTGAGCTCCAAAGTGACTCACACCCTGGGAAAAGTTCCCGTGGGTGGGGGTGGGACTGGCTTCCCATCTCCATGGCAACCCAACCAAACCAACAACACAGCTGGGCAGGCGCTGGGGGTTGAGCGGAAGCCAGTCCAACCCCTGCTTCCCTCTAGGCCCGCCCTGGGGGAGACGTGAGGCTTGGGGAAGGGAGTCTAGGGCCCAGGAGACCTTTTTTTCCAGTGCCTTTGGGGCTCTGGGCAGCTATGGGAAGCTACCACAAAGTCTCTCACTTCTCTCTGGAAGTCCCCATGACAGATATATGCCTTGGACAGCCCCACCAGCCACATACCTGTTGTTCCTGTCCCTGCCCTTCCTGCACGCCAGGCCTTTGTGAACCCCGTCTCTCTCGTTTTCCTGCCCCAGGCCTCGGGATCAGCTGCCTCCTCATCCCCGCTCTCGCCGCTACTCTGGGGACAGTGACTCCTCAGCCTCCTCAGCCCAGAGCTGCCCCCTGAGTGCCCGCAGCGATGACACAGGCACTGGCCCCCGGAGGGAGCGAGCCAGCCGGAGGCTGACCACAGGCACCCCGGCCTCTCCTAGACGCCCCCCTGCCCCACGCAGCCAGTCCCGAGACAGGCTGGATCGGGGTCGGTCCCGCGGGGCTCTGGGAGGCAGGGGAGCCCAGCTGTCGGCCCCTAGCCCTGCCCGGCGGGCACGGAGCCAGAACCGGGAGGAGCAGGCTGTACTGCTCGTGCGCAGGGATCGAGATGGGCAGCACTCGTGGGTGCCCCGGGGCAGGGGCAGCGGGGGCTCAGGTAGGAGCACCCCTCACACTCCCCGTGCCCGCAGCCCTGCTGTACCCCAGCTTTGCCGGCTCTCCAGCCCCAGTCCAGAGTTGGGCACCACACCAGCCAGTGTCTTCCGCACACCCCTGCAGCTTGACCCACAGCAGGAACAGCAGCTGTTCCAGCGCCTGGAGGAAGAGTTTCTGGCCAATGCTCGTGCCCTTGAGGCTGCTGCTAGCGGGATCCCCACTGGACCAGCCCCTGACCCAGCTCGGGGCCCAGACCCTCCAGCTCCTGACTCTGCCTACTGTTCTTCCAGCTCCTCTTCTTCATCCCTCAGCGTCCTGGGTGGCAAGTGTGGCCAACCTGGGGACTCTAGCCGGACAGCCAATGGGCTGCCTGGGCTCCGCAACCAAGCCATGTCCAGTTCCTCTGATGAAGGCAGCCCCTGCCCTGGCATGGGGGGCCCACTAGATGCACCTGGGAGTCCCCTGGCTGGCCCAGAACACTCAAGGAGCTGGGCACGGGGTCGGATAGACACACAGCCAGATGGTAAACCCTCACGCATCCCCACACCTCGGGGCCCCCGTCGCCCATCTGCACCCACAGAGCTCGGAGCCTGGCATGCCCTGCACTCAGTCACCCCAAGAGCTGAGCCAGGTTCATGGATGTGATAGAACAGCCCAACTGCTGCCACACTCCATTCCTTTTCCTTTTCCTTTGTGGCCTTAACCCCCTCTGCATCAGGGAGCCCCCTCCGCCTATTGAGTACCAGACCTCATGGGACCAGACCCCTCGGGACCACATGGCACAATGGGACCTCTGTTGTACATTCCGGTTGGGGGATGAGCGTTGCTATTTAATTACTAATATTATTGATTGCCTTAGAGGAGGCCGGTCCAGCCCGGTGTCCTGAGGACCTGTGGCTCAGGAGAGCCTCTGACAGTAAAGTTTTGCTCCAGCCATCAGTCTTGTTTCTTGGGGACTCAGTCTTGGGGCCATCACACCCTTATGAGGGTCCTCATTACATGTTGAGATTCTAGAGTTAAGAATCTCAGGAGGCTAAGCCTGGCAGCTATGACCTGTAGGCTTAAGATTATCCTGACCAGCCCAGAAATCCCAGGTGAACTCACATTGTTTTCCCTTTTATTACCTCGCAGGAGGTATGGCATAAAGAATATGTCCAATGAAGCTCCAGGAGCAGTCTGAGAGCTGTCAATCAGATTCATGGCCAAGTCCTTTCCATCCAGTGGGCCCGCCTAATGAGGTCCCTAAAAGGACTGAGTTCAATGGGGCTTGGGTACCTGGCTGGGTACAAAGAAGTTCAAAGGGAGGCCCGCTGCATGGGAGATTGGGTGGGGACTTTCCTCAGCCAGTCAGGACGGAGACTTTGCCCTGTCTGGTCCAAGTGAAGTTGAGCGATCTCTCCAATCCAGGTCCCTGGCTCTTCCAGTCAAAATCAAGACCCATCGGCTGCGGCGTCTTATCTAATCACATGAGGGTGCAGCGCGCAGGGTGCAGCGCCCCCTGCAGACGTAGGGCCGGGTGTGCAGGGCGCGCACGTACCAGAGCGCAGCGCAGCAGCTCGCGGAAGAGGCGCAGCACGTGCCAGTTGTACTTGGCTGAGCACTCCAGGTAGCCGCAGCGCCAGCCCCTGCGCACCAGGGCTGCCAGCGCGCGTCGCGGTCCAAAGCGCAGCCGCTGCCGGTCCCGCTTGTTTCCTACCACGAGGATGGGCGCTTCGGGCGCGCCCGCCGGCCTAGGGGCCGAATGGGGATGAGAGACACGGTGCCAGAAGCCATGGCCGGAGAATCCCCCAGTGGGCATATACGCACAGGCACCTCCCCTTCCTACGACCAGAGAACTCCCTAACAAACACCAGGCCCTTGTGGGCCAGAGACTTAAGTATAGCTGGAGACCTTGAGGTGGGCAAAGGCCTGATTGGGAAGGCCCCAGACCCGGCCCATGACGGTGAGCGAAACCTGTTCAAGCCCCTCAGGTAAAGCCAGGCCAGACCAGCAGTAGCTCCCACCACCACCTCCTGCCGCGCCCTCACCTGGTCTCGGCGATACGCTGCCGCAGGGCCTTCACGTAATCGAAACTATCCGGGCTGCAGATGTCATAGACCAGCACAAAGGCGTCCGTGTCCTGCAAGCTCCAATCCTTAGTGTCTGTCCACTCCTGGGGGCAGGAGGCCAGTGTTTGCGGGATTCCCTTTTCTACCATCCAGCCCCAACCCTCTGCAGGGGCTTTGACGCTAAACCCACAGGTCGTCTTTAGGCTTCCGCCACCCTCAACCAACCTCTGTGCCCCCTCGGCCAAGCTGCAGGGGCCTTACAGTCGTTAGGGCTGCCAGGATAAAAATTTCCAAATCGGGCCTGAAAACTGTTAGACGCCCCGCCTCCTTCATCCTTGCTCTCCCCTCTTCTCACCTCCCTGCACCCCCATCTTCTCCTTTCATCCCAACTTCTCAGAGTTGAGCCTTCCCCTTCTTCCTAACTCTGCTTAGACCACTTGCCCAACTGATGCCCTGGCTGGTTACTGCTGCCTCTGAGACTAATCCCACAACCCTCATCTGGAGCCCTGTGAACCACCAGGCCCTGAGACCACCGACTGTCCACAGCTGTACACCTTTATGCCTCTGTTGTAAGCACCTGCTGGTCTTTCAACATGAAATAATTCTTGTCACTTCTTTTACTGAAAAATTCACTCAGCCTTCCAGGTTCAGCTCAAATGCCACTCCTACCAGGAAGCCCTGCTCAGTACCCCCTGCTCTTTCCCCTTCATCTCTCTGTGGCTTTTATGTTCCTAGGATTGAAGGTCTGTCCTGGACCTTGCACAAATTACTAAATGAATGTTTGCTCCAGGGCACAGAAATGAGGGCAGAGAATGTCTCCCCTAGACAGTACACCCGTCTGCCTGGCCCCAATCTCTCCTGCTGGGGCTCTGCTCTGGGCCCCGAACACCACCCCGTGACCTCCGGGAGACACGGCCATGCTCCGCCACTCACTGATCCAGCCCACCAGTGGAGACAGGCAAAGACAGAAGCACCCACAGGAAGAATAAAAAACCACTTGGCAAAATGTCCCCATGGCTTGGGCTTAGGCGCCTTGGGCCACCAGGGAAGACTGAAACACACATACACCAAGACACATTCATCTTTCAATCCCTCAGCATAGTTGGGCGCCTTGGGGCCATCCACGCGGACACGCACGTGTGCACCGAACACACCTCACACTGTCACATGCCCCTGCCCTCTTCTCCACCCGCTACCTCAAGACCCCCCGGGCTTGGGCTAGGGCCAGCGACGTCGCCGTCGCGGATGCTCAGGTCGTAGACCGCGCCGTCGAGCAGCACTGCAGGCCGGTAGAGGCGCGGCCCTTCGGTGGGCCGGTGGCGCTCAGGGTAGTCACCGAACAGGAACTGGCGGATAATGGCCGTCTTGCCCACGCCCGGGGCGCCCAGAACGGCCACCCGCAGGCTTCCCCCCATGGCCGGCCGGCGCTGCCGCTCCCCACGCCGGGAAGCTTCATGGGCCGGCGCCGAGCCGTGCGCCCCGCGTGCCCTGCCCGGTGGGCCGCGGCCGCGGCTTTCCTCGTTGCCCTCTGGAGCACCTGCTGCCGTGAGAGGCCAGGGCCGAGGACAGAGCTGGTGGCGAGACAGGTGGCGGACGCACGAGCAGCTCCGGCGGGTGCCGAAGCTCGGGAGAGGCAAACCCGGCGTGCGGCGCGCAGACACTGCCTCAGCTCTGCAGCGCGAACCCAGGCGCCGCCGGCAGCGCGGGGGCCCCGAGGTCCGACCTCCTCGCGGCGCCGAGCGCGTGGGGCGGCGCTGCCTCTCGGAGCCTCTGTCCCTCTGTCCTTCTCTCTTGCTTCCGCGCCTGGAGTCCCTGTCTCAGCAGGCTGCGCGACTGAGCGAGTCGGGCCTTCCAGAAGCGGCGATGAGGTAACTGCCCGCCCACCCCTCCCTCTTTTCCCCTACCACCTTCCCCTACCTCCTCGGGACGCCCCTCCCGGGAAGGGTCGCAGGAAGGTGACTAGGGGGCAGGGAGCCCGAGGAGGGCCCCACCCCCCTCCGCATTCTCCAGCTCCTTTCATCCGCTCCAAAATAGCAGTCCCTTCCCACCCACGTCCGCGTCTGCGTTCGCGTTCCGGTCTCCAGACCCCGCTGGCCCCCAAGCTGGCTCCTGACAAATGCCGACCCCCTGGAGTCTGGCCGCCCGGGCTCGGACTAGGGGGTTGGGGACAGCTGTGTTGTGACCTTGGTTCAATCACAGCACTGGACTGGGTCTCTGCTCCCCATCCATCAAAGGCAGCCGCTTCAAGAGGCTTCTGCCATTTCTTGAGAACCTACTATGTGTCTGGCCCTTAATGTACTAAGCTATGACCTACAAAAGCCGTGAACCTACAGCCTCAACCAGGCACTGCCTTTTTTGAGAGGAGGAAACTGAGGCCTGAGAGGGGGATCTCCAAGGTTAGAAGGATGGAGGGTGCTTAATCTCACGGTCGCTAAGGCCCCTCCCACCTTCCTCCTGCCTACACAGGTAAATGGAAAGCACTAGACCTTATTCCAAATGGCTGTCCTGGAGGCGAGGTCAGGACAACACACACAGGAGTCCTCCTGGCCCAACAGGGGGTGGCTCAAGGTGGATAAATACAGAAAGAACCAGAAGTTGGTGGACATCACCTCCATCACTGCTAAGGCCTCCCGTCCTGTCTGAGTCTCTAACAAGGGGTGCACCCTCCAAACTATTCTCCAGTACCCAAATTCCCCCTGCCTGGAGATAGTGGAGAAGCTCCTTCCTTAACTCACAGCTTGGGAAGTCTGGGTTTGTGCCCCACCCCCTGCCTCTTCTGCATAGAGTGCTGCGGCATCACTGCTCACAGCAACCTCCAACTCCTTAGGCTCCTTGCCTAAGCCTCCTGAGTAGCTGGGATTACAGGTGCCTGCCACATCCCCCGACTATATATATTTTTTTCAGTTTGGCAGGGGCCAGGTTCGAACTCACCACCCTTGGTATATGGGGCCGGTACCCTACCCACTGAGACACAGGCACTGCCCTACTGAGATGGATTAAAAAAAAAAAAAAAAACAGAAAAAAGGGAAAAGTTTTTGCCTTAGAAGGAAAGGTTTCAGAACACATGGGATCTAGCAACTGTAAGAACACAGACAACATATCCACCCCAGCCTGGGGGAAGGGGGTGAGGGGGAGGAAGAGCTAAACCCTGAAGGAGGGAGGAGGTGTATCCTCCAGGGAGCAGGTGATAGCAAGCAGAGGGGTGTTTGGTAGGTGTGATTTCATCTTTCCATACTGGATCAGGGGCCTGGGTCCACTTTCTCTTCACTCCTCAGCACTAGGCAACTTAGACTCAGCTCTGTCAAGTTCCAGGTCTTCAAGCTCAGTAAGTGTGGACCCCTAGCTTCATCTTTCTTTATGCCATGATTTTCCCTTCATTTAATTTCCCCTGTCACATTTAACTTTTCAAACTTGTGAGTTTTTAACCTTTCCAGCTTCTTCTTTTTTTTTTTTTTCTTTGAGACAGAGTCTCACCCTGTCGCCCTGGGTGGAATGCCATAGTGTCATCATAGCTCACAGCAACCTTGAACTCCTGGGCTCAAGCGATCCTCCTGCCTCAGTTTTTCTATGTCTATTTATTTATTTATTTTATTATTTTTTTTCTTAGAGAGTCTCACTTTATCACCCTTGGTAGAGTGCCGTGACATCAGTCACAGCAACCTCCAGCTCTTGGGCTTAGGTGATTCTCTTGCCTCAGCCTCCCGATATTTTTATTTATTTATTGTAAAAAAAAAAAAAAA